GGGGGGGGGGGGGGGGGGGGGGGGGGGGGGGGGGGGGGGGGGGGGGGGGGGGGGGGGGGGGGGGGGGGGGGGGGGGGGGGGGGGGGGGGGGGGGGGGGGGGGTGGATTGGGGAGTCCCACATTGATTGGAGAAGGGAACGAGTGCTAGCGAGGACGCTGGGCCCCGAAAGGGGGTGGATTGTGAGATCCCACATCGGTTGGGGAGAACGAAGCATTCTTTATAAGAGTGTGGAAACCTCTCCCCAGCAGACGCATTTTAAAAACTTTGAGGGGAAACCCACAAGGGAAAGCTCAAAGAGAACAATATCTACTAGCGGTGGGCTTGGGCCGTTTGTAACTATATTACTTAAAAGATTTCCTATAGAAATTTGATAAAGCTAAACAAACATGAAAACATGTAATCCTTCTAAATTATAGGACAAGATAACAACATATTAAAACTTGACAGTACAAGACTACTGAAATTTAAAGTCTGCAAACGATAGGCAAAACTCTAACAAGGCTACTTACTGCAGATAATGATGCATCGCGGCAGGCTAATCCAACATCCAGCAATAAAAAGCAGATATGAAGAGCCGTTGTCTGCATATCAATAGCATAATTAAAGGAAAATTCCAATCACTAATATAATGAATAAACTTCAGTACCTCATCAATGGGTTCAATATTTTGATATAAAGGTACAAGAACTGCTAATGCCTTTGAATATTCATGAAGATTGAACCATACGATAGCCTGTAAATAGACATTTTAAATTGTCACGATCAGACCAATAATAAAAAAATTCTTCAAATAATTAGTTTCTCTTCCCTATTGCATTTAACTTACAATGTTTAGGGTAGGAATGGAGGCATCAAACTCATCCATGTATACGATATTAGCATTGTTGGTAGCAGTCTGATGAGCAGATACATTATTTCCTTTACCCGAAGTACTCTTATTTTCAGGGTTAAAAGCATCTGCTTGTTCTCCAGATGAAACTGCGAGGTTCTCGGTTCTCTTCTGAACAAGCGCATCCACACAAGAATTAGCAGAAAGATGAGTATTTGCAGATCATTATGCAATGGCCGAAAATACCAAGAAAGTAATATGGAAGAGGGGGGAGTATTATGGCGTTCTCTCTATTCAAAGTTTCACTCAAAGAACTATAGAATGAAGTAACTATAGTATCAAAAATAAAAATAAAAAGAAATCAACATTAACTAATAACAAAGACTAGAATTAAGATTTGAAAGTACATGCACTAAAGTTGGATATTTGAAAGTAAATGGAACGAAACCCAAGCTACAAACCAAAATGGTATTTTAACCAAGATTTTACATTGATGAAACAAACAAAAAGAGACTCCTACATATAGTGAAGAGGTTGGTAATATCATTCATTTAAGAACGGAATTTTTATTGTAGTTGAACAAGGCGTCCAAAAATAAGAAAAATGTATAATGAGTCTCCTATGCCAAATCAATGATTTAAAAGATCTTTAAAAATTAGAACTTCGAAATTCAATTATGGTAGGTAATGGATTGAGGTGATTAACAACAGCTCTTCCAAAAGGAAGGAAAATAATAAAACATTACCAGGAACATAAATACTGTGGCAGTTAAAATAAACAGGAACACAAAGTACACATGAACCCTTTGGAGCTAACGGCATACCTTGACATTGTTTAATACTTCAAGCAACTTCTTCGGATTGGAACAACCATCTCTCAAGTATTCGGCAATGGCGATATTATGAAGCACCTGAGAAAGACATCTATATATGAAGTGCTAACAGGTTGTTTTTTTCAAATAAGTGCCAAATGAAGCATCAAGATTAAAATAGATAGGCAGCCAAACCCAATGTAACCAACTTGTTTAGTAACACAAATCATTGACACCAAGATATCCTTAAGCTCCTTATAAAAGATGCAGTCCTAAAGATTGGATTGAAGTCAAAATCGACATAGAAAATCAACGTTCACCAAGAATCCAAACAAATGTATATCAAGAGACATCCCATTAGAATATGTCAAGCTAAAAACCTAAAAAACAAAATATTTGTAATAGTGCCAATTGATTAAATATTGAAAACTAACGATTTTGTTGCCTAAAACTTATGTGGTTAAATAACTAAAAAATAAGTATGGTAGAGGTATCTAGGCAACCTCATCCCAAACCTGACCCTCAGCCCAACAAAAACAATAATAAAAGAGTCACCATAACACATATCATATTTCATTCTGGATCTGAAGCCACTCTCTAAATATGCAACCAGGTATAATTGAAGGAAGGATCCAAGTCACTCAACGCTCTTTTTGCCAACAATGTACATTTGATCACAGTTATATTGAATGGACACTGGAAAGACTAACAAAAACAACAAAATTCTCATTGCCATTAGCACTTGGCAGGGTCATGATTACATTTTTTTTTTTTTTTCCTCTGGATTTCTCTTCCTACTTCGAAAATGAAAAGCTCAGGATATTGTAAGAATAGAATTTGGGGATGAGAATGAGTAGGGGCAGATACGGTATTTTGTAAAACCAATCTTCCTTAAATGATTATGGAGCCTTTAGCGGAGTTGATCACAATTGCTTGTTCCAAATATTTTCCAGGGCCATCAGTTGCTTGGGAAAATTCCTTCACGTCAGAGGTTTAGGTAACGATTCTATGACTAGAAGGATTAACATTCAAATGGACCAGTGATAAACAGAAATTAAAGAGTGTATGAACAGAAATGCTACCACCCGAACCTAAAATCTTGCTAATTATCATAAAACCAAAGGAAAATGATAACATTCACTGAAAATTACACCCTATTTTCATTTCCTCTCAGCATAGCCTAGGCGTCGTTAAATGATACAACGGAATTGCACGTAGTTTTAGTATGTTAATCCACAAATAATTCAAAAACTCGATATTCGCTAAGGAGGAAATCGAGAGGAAAAAAGCGCCACATATTATTTCTGAGCTCAACATTTCGCATCATTGAATTCAAAACACTAAACCGCAACTGCACATACACACAACGAATTAACGAAATCCTCAGCAAAATAAATAAATAAATAAACAATCAAACAAAATAAGATTATGGTGCAAGAAATCAAACCTTAGGATCGTCTTCTTTCTTCTGCAACAGCTGATTCAAAACCTCTACACACCCAGCATACTTGCCCGATTGGAAAAGCGATGCAGCATCCTTTGCAAGAGCGGCAGTGACGGATAGAGCTCCATCGTCCTCAGCGGCCGACGAAGATGAATCACGAGCGTCCATTAATGGATCCAAATAAAAGAAACAAAATCAAGGGCCAGGTTGCAAAAAAGGAAATGAGGTGACGGATAAAGCGAGGCGAAAGAAGCCCTAAAATTTCGAAGTTCAAAATTCTCAATGCGATAGAAGAAAATCGAGAGATTATGAACTACGAAATGGAAAAAAATTCTGGAAATCAATGGAAGTTGTAGGTTTTGAAACCCTAAAGTCTGGGTTAATTGTAAAGGAGGACACCTGGTTTCTTCTGTTTTAGCTGAAATGCGTCTATTTCGAAGGAGGGAAGGAGGGGAGAGAGAGAGACAGAGAGAGAGAGTAAGCTTAAATAAAAACTAAAGTCAAATGGTCAACTAAATTGAGAAAGCAGTTTGACTCGAGCCACTCGCGCCCCTCTTCCATATTATTATTATTATTATTATTATTTTAATGCATTCACAAAATTATCCACTAATTTTAAATCTCTAATCTAATAAAATGGCCTTTTAAATTTAATTCTCATGGTATTAATTAATTAAGATTCGTTACCAAACTAATTAATTAAAAAAATTAATTTTGTTCTGTACATTTACAACATGGCTCAGTTGTGTGAGCTTATGGAGTCTATAGATTCTGGGTGTCCTGGCTCTCCTCAGAATCATTAACTACTTGTGAGAAATCAAGGCTTGTGTAAGTTCGAATGCCCGGGCCGTGTCCACCGCAATCCCGTGCCCGACCTTGTTGAGCTCGTCTTACTTCCTTCTGATGCTGAGTTAATTCCATCTTCCTTTTTGAATTGGAAGCGGGGATGTCCTCCTTGTGCTTGTCCTGATTATTAGTTGTCATTAGTTCTATTCTTTTTGAGCTCCTGATGGATGTTGCACTCACTCTGTGGCTGAAGGGAGGGTTGGCATCTTCTTGTCTTGCAGGGCATTGTGGAACCACCCACAAGCATCTCTTCTGGAGTTTTATTCTTCCATTTCTTGATAGCTTGTGCAGTATAGGAAGCAGGTTTTGTGGGTAGCGTGCAACTAAATGTTCACCGAATGAGGAATTCCAGAAAGAAATGGTTGGCTCTGAAATTGAGGGATTTTGGTGGTCAAGAGTTTTTTCGAGTAGAGGTGCCAAAAGCTTCAGAAAGGCAGAGTCGAAGACTAATGAAGGACGGCCCCTTTGCAAATGACTAATGATTTCAGCCCACAGGATTTGAAGCTGGCTGTTAATGCCTTCTTCCAATGTCTCCATTTTGGTCAACCACAAAAGCAATGGCGAGGATATCATCTGGTAATAAAAGGCAAGTGTTAAATAATGTCAGTAAAGAGACTAAGTACAACAGTTTAAAACTCCAAGGCGTAAAGAAGAAAATTCCAGGATCATGATCACCAATCGGAAAAAAAATGAGAAACCAGTTATTCAAGTCGTGAATTCTTGAGCACAGTTCACCCATATCAAGATGATATATGTCGACAGTGAAATTTATTGCAATATAGTATAAAAAATGAACATTTCATGATCAAAATCACCACCACAATCAAAAGAGTATGAGAACAAGTCCTAATCCTGCATTCCTATCATATGCCTCAATAAATGCATGATCCCAATGACTGACATAGCCATGATGTTCGTGTGATATGCAAATAAATCACGCGTGTTTTGCAATGTGTTTGGATCAGATGGATGAAAATAGATTAAAGTACCTCTACGAACTCAAATATATCTTGTTTCAAGTGAAGGCAGCTGACGAATTGAGCCAATGCTGAAAATACTCTGCAACATCCTTACTAGGGTGAGATGTTAACGCAAGTAAAATGCAAAGAGGAATTAACTTGCACAAGCAGATTATTGCAATAATTGTTCCAAAATACCTGGAAAGCCAATGTGATGAATTTTTTCCTCGCTTTATCTGTAATAGTTCAATAAATCTGTACCAGGAACATGAAACTGAAGAGTTAAGAAGAGTTAAGGATTAGACACCATGCAGAGACAGAACAGATTAATATGGCTTGTTACATTAATTGTGATTTTATATGGCGTTTTCTATAGGTGCCACATTAACCTCTCCCAAAAAATACACATATATTCCAGAAGATTAGTTTTGTAAGCTTCTACAAGCAAAGATTTCATAGGACTAGAGTTTTCATTTTAACTCTCGTAATTCTTAGAAACGCAGCCTTTCAGCTGAATAAATGAAATCCAAATCAGTATCTATTTCAAAATTATAAGAAATGAAAAATGTGTGTGTGTGTGTGTGTGTGTGTGTGTGTGTGTGTGTATCATGAAACTAACGGCATGATTATATAATTAACTTAAGTTCCTAAGAAATCATCATCATAAATTCCTTTATATGAGGCATATTTATTCAAATAAAAGCGAATAAGTACATGACGACTTGTTATTGGTCTTTCAATATAATCAAGCGAGTAGTGTTTGCATTTACCTGGCGGCCAATCTCAAGCTAGGACTGTTGAAGCAGGATTTTTCACAGTTACTGTCTTCTCTCGTAATTCTACCTGATCTTATTTCGGAACTTTGAAGCCCTTTCAAGATGTTTATGACAATGTCAACAAATATCGAGAGAAAATCAGCACTAAAACCTTCACAACTTGAACAAGATTCACTCCCACACCCAGGCATGCTTTGATCATTGAGGCATCTGCTTAACATAGAAGCCAAATCCTCATTGAAACAGATACTCGTGGAACTGTCAAGCTGCAATGTGTTCACAGAACTATAAAGCGACTTCCAAACTTGGACAACAGATTCAAGCACAAGATTCTCCAGTGTGGAGCCACACAATATTTTGGAGGAGCATACAACAAAAGGGTAAGAGAGGAGATAGCATATGGTATTCACCCCTTCAGTTTCTGACTTTGTTTTCAACGGGATATTATTCCTCATATTGCTGCTCTCCATCAAACCTTTTGCTATTGCTATCCATATCTTCAGGCTAGTGGGCACAATGTTTTTATACAAAATTAAAATAGCTGCAAGAAGACTATCTGGAGGTATGAACGAAGAAAATACAAGTTTGAAATATTCGTGCATTTCTTTTAGGATACAATCCGTAAGGCACATTGTCGAAGTAGACTGAACTGCAACTGAACTGTACATTACAATTAAATAAACTATAGGTGATACCTTATCCATGTAAGATATAGACGGTACACCAAGAACTTGTGCATAGCTGATGTGATTGACTGATTGGACTCCATCCATTTCCTTGAAGTCTAATTCAACCTCATAAAGAGGGGATCCTAGTATAGCAGGTTCTAACTCCTTGGTGACATCCCGAATAAAGTGGAGGATAGCATAATGTAAATGATGGTGAATATAGCCATCGCCACTTAGATTATCAGACAGATATCTTAAAAATCTTAAAATTTCCCTCAAACCAAGCATAACATCATCATAATTCGCAGACGGCTTTTTGAGCTCTAATTGGACTCCTTTTAAGACAGATTTAAATAACCTTTGGCAAGTATCATATGCGAAAGTCCTATTCTCATTGCTGAAGGTCTCCATTGATGCTGAAGTTGAGATAACACAAATCATCTTTAAATGAAAGGCCAGCTGATTTAGATTCCATGGCAACCACCTTATAGGAAACTGCTTCCAAAACCTTTTACCAGCTTCTTGGTATTCAATCTCGGACAGTGTCGCTTCTGATTTGTAGCATAACGGGACAGTTAAATCATTATCCATGTGTGAACACTTTGCCAACAGAAAATCATCCAACAAACTTAAGCACATACTCCACAACCTGATATTTTCATTATCTGGAATAAGCCGGAAAATTGCCTCGAGAATAGGCTCTAATACCAGTTTTATCATGCATGGACTGTTAACAAATGAGTCAAGTTTATAGAGCAGAAAATGCCATGTGTTCAAACATGATAAGCGAACAGATATGTCACATTTACTCTGTATGACACCGACCAAAGGCACCATGATCAGCTTTATACTTTTTGAAACCCCATTTGCTTGGATTTCACAATCATTCCCATTTAATATTTGCACCGTTTGATTATTTTCCTCTCCCTTGACCACATTAATCTCACACCGGAGAGTTGGACTGTGAACAAGAGCATCAATTAAGCCTTCCCATGCAACCTGCAAGGTCAAGACATCAAAATTTTTACAAGAACAAAATTCAAATATATTAATAACATAACTTTCATCAAGCACCAAAATCTGCTTTTTAATAAGAACAGCTAATATAATCACGATTCTCCAATGATTTTCTGTGTCACTCAAACTTGTAGTCTCAAGTTTTCAGCCTACCAAAGTCCCATGAGCAGAAGTTTTTCAGAGAAGCCCAACTGATACAAGGATGATTATCCTGTTTAACCGAGTCCTATACAATCTCCCATGTTTTACTTTAAACTGGAAGGCTTGCAGTTGTAGATTATATTTGCATGTCATTAATTTCTTGTTTTTTACTTCCGAGAGCATGCCATAAAATATGCAATTCAGACCAACTTGACACTTAAGGCAAAGTTTATAATAGCCTTATATTATGAAGGTTGATGAATCGGATGTGAAGAGAGATGCAGTATGAAGTACCTGTGAGGCAATCTGAACTTGAGGGTCGTGATCTGAAAATGTCCTCTCTGGAATTTTAAGCATTTTATTTACTAAATTTCTGTTCTTCATGGAATGAGATCCTAGTATCCGGATGAACCATCCCCAAGCTGCAATAGTCTGAACCTTCATTCCGAGATTTAATAACTTATCCATTCCATTAAGCAACGATTCCTTCATATCTTTCACAAGCGCCTGTTGAAGTATAAAAGTTAGTATATAAGACATTTTAAGTATTATGTGCTTCATATTCTTATGATCTTTTCCCTCTAAAACCATACCCAGGTGATAGGCCTTGCCCAACGACTTCAGTTATATTCAAGGGGCCTATCACCGGGCTTTTGTCAAAGAACTAGAAGATAAGCTTGGAAGCACCTCATGGTTCTTTCTTCCACCTTCATTTTCCCCAAGAATGGTGTTCTAATTTGCCCTTATTGTGTTGTCAACCATCAACTGATAATGGTTGTTGGTTGCATCATATCAAGCTACAAGAGGTGAAACTTCTCATTGAATTATCCAAATATCTAGTAACGATCTCCTGTAGATGCTTCACATGGTGAGGAAACATAGGTCTCCAGATTGAAAATATCTACAAATATGAAAATATATTGTTTCCGGACCTCTTAGACTGAGGTCAAATGTTTGATTCTATGGCATAGTATAGCCAATATCCAGACTTCTGTCAAGACCTGCTAATGGATAGCCATGACATCTTGTCTTTCTAAATCCCAACAAAGATCGTTTATATTATCCTGTTTGTGAATATCAAATGTGATAACAAATAAAAACTGCATCTTTCTAGCAAAAGAACTCGTCATAGATAGAAAGGAGTCAGTCCCAATTCTGAGGGTTCAAAGTGAATTAAGACAGCATTTTAAGAAAGATAAAGAGTAACGACATTTTCTTCAATTTTTTCATATTTGGAGAGAAGTAATAAGATAATTAGTATTAAAATAAGAAACATCGTACAAGTGACGCACAGAAGGAAATTTGAGAAGCAGACCAGATATTCTCCCACTCAAGCAAAGGAGATTTTAAAATTGTTCCAATTGGCATCAATCAAAAAAGAAGGTTAAATTTCAAAACTCTTTAGCCAGACAGCTCCAGGGGAGGAAACAACTTAACAGCAAAACTCTTTGCGCTTCTCAACAAACACCATGAAAAATTTACAATTTATTTCAAGCCAAAGCTTCCAACAGCCTTATCTAGAGTAGCCATATTTGTAACTTGACAATAAAAAGGAGCATATAAAGAAGTAGAGAATGAGCAAAAAAGTATCTAGTGAGATGATATTTAGATACAAATGTAGACACTCTTCATATTCTACCATAAAGATAACCAAGATTACATGGTTTATTATCTTAACAATCACTAATACATGCATGGTGGAGACTAGGAATGAATATTTTCTTTTTTATGAAATAGTATATTAGTAAGTGCCCACTAATTTTCATCCTTGCACTACCTCCGAGTGGAAAGTTTTTGTTACTCCACTGGAGTACAGAGGCCTTTGTCACTTTGTTGTATAGTTTACCTCGTTTCTGAAATATAGTTTCTGACAGGGAAAATTAAAACATTGAAGGCAATGAAAAAAGATCTGTGAATACCTTGGACAAAACTAGCGGAGGAGGTAATATTGTGGACCTGATCTTCAACAAACATCTCTCTGACATATCCCTCTCTCTTTTATCGAAGCTAAGAAGTCTTCTGTATACTGGAGGAGCCCATATATTGGATGACTCTCTCATTTTATCACTTAATTTATCTGCCAGCTTTGTAATAGCCTAAAGTATAGCATTAAAAGATAAAGCAACAAATTAGTAAGAGAATGAGAAAATTAAAGTCCATTTGCTTCATGACTAATAACAAGTTTTTCATAAGCACTGAAAGCAGGGAAGCTACGCTGTATTGAGAATTTTATCAAAAGAAACAGGTTAGGCTGTATCAATCCGAACTTACTTTTTATAAGTACGCAAGTTTAGGAGTATATATTCTAAACATTCAATTTATCCCTGATTAACATTTTGAATAATGAGTTTAACTTGAGCTGTTTATTTAATTAATATATTGATCTCATTGATTTGTTATGTCATTTCGGAGAGGACTAGCTATAATTGTGAATTTACTAGAACTATAGATGTCATGAAACACTCAATATCCATCCTGATTTTTATATGGGGGAAAAAATCTTATATATCCATCGAATGAAAGATACATAGAACTCCTCACGTGTCAGTATTGGAGAGAGATTTGAACGACACAAAAAATTGGGGGAGGGAAGTTTGAACTCTGGACTTGACTGTACGTAATAGCTTTTAACCAAGGCTACCTCATATCGTGATAGAATAGAGAAGGCATATCAGCTCCAATACAAGTCATCGAACTAAACTTTTACCTGGATAGCCTCAAAAGTGGTCGACAAAGACCCATTGGGATTGTCAAGGGCGTGAGTAACAGCCAACAGCAAAGAATGGAAGTGCAAAGCAAGAAAGTCTGCATCGAGCTGTTGAATTGATATGCACCAGACTCCTAAGTTACAAACTGACTGCAACCAAGTAGCTGGATGATGAGTTTAGAAAGAGGGCATAAACAGCGTGGTTGATGAAAATGTCATTCAGGATGATACAACAAACCTTCAGTTTAGTTCTAATGATTAGTTCTGCCAATGACTCAAGGATAAAGCTGGCTTCTTTCGCTGGAGCATGGATAAGAAAGAAAAATATAAGAAAACTTTTTCATATAGTAGGTAATACTAATTCTCAACAATATTGCGGTTAAAGGCTTCGAGAGCCAGCCAGATTAGACTAAAATATTCAAAATCACATCAGTACTGATGTTTGAGATCAGTATATCAGGTCGTTGCCTATCTGCTGGTCTCTATAGCTAATTACATTTATACAGCGTATCCATGCATGCGGGCATGCAATAAGTTGTAAAAAAATTTGAATATACGAAAGGTAAAATAAAATGGGCAGTTCCCACTATTGCAAGCATTCAAATATTTCTACTCAAGCACCAACACTTTTTGCTGATGAATGGTGATCAGTGCTTCTAGACTGGCCCTTTGATAGTAAAGGATAAAGAAGGTATGCACTAAACAGTTGGAATTGTAAGAAAACCCCAAATCGTAAGTACATACCCGGAATAGCAGCAATGATCGATGGATGATAAATTATGAATCCTAAACACTTCAATGCCTGTGCGGCGCTGAATGAAGAATACAAAACAATACAAATTACACAACACTACCAATTTCCAGACCATTAAATACTATATATGGAGTAAAAAAATGCAAATAAATCCGAATCAGCAACATAACATCCTCGGCCATAGAATCTGCCTTCAATTGCACATCTACGGATTCTAATAAGAAGCCAGACAGTTCATAAACCGCGCCATATACTTTATTCTACCCTAAGTTTTAGTTAAATCAATAACACAATGCCCTCAATCTCAATAAACAACTGAACCGTGTTTAAATAACAAGAAAACAAACTGCGATTCAGTATCTCGAACAAAGCAGAAAACAATGAAAAGTACGAATCCAAGTAAGCCTTACATTTCCTCGTCTTCGTCTTGAGTGTCGGAGACGATACGCCGAATCGAATCCCGAGAAAATTTCGCTAGGGCATCGATTGAAGTATGGCTTGTAGTAGAAAACTGTTGGATTTGTAGAAGAGTGGAGTAGGCAAGTGATTTATTCGCTTTAACTCCAGAACATATCAGGGTATTAATTTCTTCAAGACGGTTTAAGATATCTAACATTGCTGCAGAGTGAAGAACAGGGGGGACAAACGGAGAGACCGAGTCGAAAGGAGCGCAAGAAGAAGGAAAGCCAAATTTCGCGCCAAAAATTGTCGCATCGGAATAGCCAGATGGCGGGGAATAACAATTTATATATTTCACCCCTGTTTGGCTACAGCTATAAGTAATCCACGCACTCGATTATCAATTTCATAATAACTATCTTTTTATTTTATTTATTTCATCCATAATTGACTTTTAAATGTACATTTTATTATATTTTCAATTATTATTTTAAAATTATATATTTGCAACAACCAATATATCTTCAGCCTCCTTCCTTAAAATTCAAAAAAAAAATTATAAATATTTTTTTGATAAAACACAAAATAAAATAAAATTAAAAAATAATATTTAATGTCAACCCTGTAATCATCGATGGAGACAAATAGATTAAATTTAAAAAAAAGAGAAAAAAAGAATAGAAAATGGAAAAGTAGAGGGAAGTGGAATTTGATTTAGACGGGAGCGGCATAATCAAAAGTAAGAGTGAAAGAGATCCTTTGTCACTCTCTGTTTAACAATATAATGACGGAATATTTCTATACCTAACTTTTAAGATACGATTATTTATTTATTATTTTAACTCATTAAATTATTAATATGTATAACTTTACGTAAACTCTAACAAAAAAATAAAATAAGGGTGTGACAATATTAAATTACTCAAAATGAAGGCATATAAAAGTTTAGATAATTATTTAAATTTTATAAGATAAAAGGTGGAAAATTCGTCTCATAAAACTGTAAAAATAGTAAATTTTAATATTTATTCATTTAATCTTAGCCACCCCTCTGATAGCCGGCCCATTATTAAGCTTCCGACGGCCCAAGTCCAATTATTATTATTATTTTTTTTTTTTGCAAATAAACGAATATTTTAGGCGACAACCCTCAAAATCCAAAACGTCACCGTTCTGTCTCCATTGGCTTAGCCCCACCCTCCTCACCCTTGCCTTTCCTTCGCTTTCAATTTCAACTAGAAAAGAGAAGTGAATGATATTGTCTTGAAAGCTAAATATTTATTATTTTGTTATTTATTGAACTGATTTACAAATAATTTTTTTTTATTCGAGAATATTAATGATTTTGTGAAAATTCGTACCAATATAAAATGTTAAGAGCATCCCACGCATAAATATCTTTAATTAGGTGTAAAAAAATACGAAAAAATTCGTATCGTTAAACTTTGAAAAAAAATGTTTATATGATTTAGCTTTACGTATAAAAATTATCTAGAACTATCCTACCGATATATTTATAATCTTTTATGTAAGGCTTCAATCCATTATAAAGAATTCTTTTAAATAGTGATAATTTTATTAAATATTTTAGTTATTTTAGAATCTAAAGATGGGATATGCCACCGCTAGTAAGACAAGAAAAAACAGTGGTTCATATCTTTATATTTTTTGGACCACGTATCATTCTTTTCTAAATAATTTTGTATCGAATGAAAATAGATTTTATTTTTTCTATTAACTTTTTATTCTCTACTCCAAATTGTTGGAGAGTTTGAACAGTTGGCCTATTAAAAATGTCGCTATTTAGCATAGTTGGTCAAACACGAATCATTTAGATCGAATAGAAAAATACAATTTCCATAATTTAGCATGGAAAAGATGAAAAATAATGAACTTAGGGCTACTTTAGTGTGGGGTAACTTTTTTTTTTTTTTTTTTTTTTT